AATTAAAAATATACGAATAATTATTATAAGAATGAGAAAACTGTTTATATATAAAATTATGTGTAGAAATAAAAATAATCAGAATGGAAAGACACTGAATACAACATAGTAACTACATATTTATGGCTTCATTTCCTCTTTTACTTCAAGAGATAATGCGTCGTAACAAGGTGATAAGTTACTTTACCGTATGGATTTAGGTTGCTTAAGGAAGAAATTATTACTGATAACTATTTATCTTCGAAGATAAAGATTTAGGTAATACCCATCTACGTTGTTTATAATAAAACTACAGTGATATAATAGAAACATATTTATTAACTACGATATAGATAAGTCATTGCGACATCAGAGATATGCAAATACACATATAATATAATATTATTTGTAAACAGCAATTATTAGTCAATTGTTTTTGATCGAATTTTCCTTACAAATTAAACATATTTTTCATGCTGAGATGGTAAATTTAAATCACAACGTATTATATACTATTTCAAGACGATTTTAATGTAATATTAATTTAACATATACATCTTGTGATGGTTGTATTAACCCAAATAAACCTGGCACGAAAGGGATATATTAAAGAGACCTATTTCATTACAGGCTATTACCAAGACTATAATATAATCTCATGCACGGCTTAAGTACTCATGTTGTAACTTATCCAATTATAACAAAAGAAATGTTTGAGTAATATATGGTAGAATAATTTGTAAGTTATATTGTTAGCTTTAACTTTGAGTCTGAAATAAATTCAGATCATGGCACGGGTAACTTCTCATTTGTCAGTCCCCTTTTGAGGTAAAGTTACAACAAGAACTTAAAAAAACAGGATTTTGATCTAAAATTAAGAGGTCACGCCTTCGTCTTTGTTGTCTCATTTTCCTTTGTAATTTTCGTCTTCCTATCGTCAGCAGGAAGTAGTTAACAAAGGAATTAATTAAAAATGGACAACTCCAGTGCTTTGTTTGAAGCAGCTAATTTAAGCTAAATTAAGCTAAACAAAAAAAGCACATGTAAATCTAAGCAAAAATCTGATTTCTAACTTCATACTAGGTTTTGTTGTATAAAAAACAAAGGAGGTGCTATAAATTATGAGTATATAAATACAGTTTAAAAATTTAGGTCCATATAAAAATACCACTTTCTAAAAGTTAAGGAATTATTTTGTAGAAAATAAATAAAATTACCTACTTTTTATTTAATAACAAACTCTTATTTCTCGTTGTAAGTTAAAAATATGAATTTCTCAGTAAATTATTTTTAATTTTAGCAGAAAATTTATAATTGAATGAAACATACCTACGGCTGTAGCTCTGCAGGTATGTTTCAATAAAGTGGTTATGAAATTATATACAATGTGTTAGTAAATTACAATGTTAGCTGATTATTATATATTTTACTGCAGATTAGCCTTTAAATTGTGATCTCTGATCAGACAATATGATACCGCTACAACGATTCATTTGATCAACGTCCAAGCACTAAGTTTTCTGACTATTTATTATGCTCAATCTTGCCTTTTTACTGGATATAAAACCTCATATATTTAAATCTTAACCAAGCTAAAGAAAGTAATATAAACTATTGTTTAATTATAAAATTCGTTAACGTAATGACAAGTTGCACAAAGCAATGACATTGAACACTTTGAACACTTTGATATAGATTCCCAATCATAAATTATCTTCTTCTTCTACCTGGCAATTTCCCAGCTATGGCCAGGGTCTGCCTTACATGTTGTGAATAGTTTTGGCTATTTGTTTTTACGACCGGCCGCTTGCCTGACATCAACCCTCTTTTGGGAATCAACATTAATCAGTGATGTCTAAATACACTTATAAAGTACATATGACTCGGAATAATCACATTGATACTTGCCCGGGCCAGGATCGAACCCGCGCCATCGGCAACGATAGACGAGCCCTTTAACCACTAGGCCCCCACTGACTACTGAATCATAAATCCCAATCATAAATCATGTTAGTAAAAATCATCAATTGTGTTAGTAATTAAAAACTTTAAGAATAAATAAACAGTTTCATAACCCTCATTTTCTTATATATTTTGCGATTAGGTCATATCTTATTTCATGATTTAGAAGAGCAACAATTATTCTACTATTTCATACTTAATTGTATGCGAAGGAAGATTGTGTAAAATTTACTTCAGCGCCATCTGTGAGAGAACGTTACACTATGACACTATTTTCAGCTTCAACCATCTTTATACGTTTCAGTGAGGCAACCAACTTTTCATCTGTAAAGCTTCGCCAGTTTCCCAACAGATGGCGCTCTAACAAATTCGAGAAATTTACTATCGTCAACAAATTGATTTATTAGAATAATTATAAATAACAATATATTGAGTGTAACAATAATTTAAAAAATAATTTCACAAATATATGGCCGAGAATTATATTATATCATAAGTTTTTATTGGAATACTTTCAAATGAATCTCTGGGTCATCGCCCGGACCCCGCCCCCATTATTGACGTCATCCGAGTGACGTGCGAGGCGCCTCCGCCCTCGGGGATACATCACGATGGTATCTTTTACATGTAGATGTTTCCACTAAAGACTTTCTAGGGAATGTGGTCTAGAAAAGACATCAAAAGGTGGTAGTACATTTAAAATGAGTAAACAATATGCTGCCTTTTCCCGCGTCCTATTTCACCATAGAATACTTCAACATCCTCATTGACATCGTTTCATCGAAAAGATGATTTGAAACATTGTTTTATTTGACAATTTTGTATAACAGTTTTATATTAGATAACATGAACATTAGGAACTATATAGCGCTACTTATATTTTTCCTTCATTTTAATTTAGTTTCATTTATTTACTTGAACCATTTCAGAATTTAAATAGTTGTTCATAATCATTTATTAAATTGAACCTTATTTGTTTCGATTTATGTTTTTGTTATATCTGAAATCTAGAAAAGTTATTCTTATATAATAATTCAAATACATACAATAGCAAGATTTATCTTATTTTACTAATATCTTTTAAATATTTAAGTCTTAATCCAACTCTAGTTAAAATTTTGCTGCCAAAATCGTATCCACTAGATCGGAACAGTGGAAGCGAATCCCTTCAATCGTAACAACTCCGTATAAATGAAATGTACTTCCCTAACAACTTGGAAGCTTTGAATTAAAAGACATTTTCATTTGGTCGGGTTATCTTAACTAAAATTATGTATTATTGATATTATTAATGTATTTTTATCTATTTTATTTATAAATATAACATCTTTATCTACTTCCTTTATCATTTCTTAAAAGTTGTATGTTTTATCAAACAAACAACACTTCGTCTAATGTTTTACAACGACAAAAATCATGATAAAATGTATCGATGTTTGTCAGTTTTCTTTTCCTTTATTTTAATAGTGCCTTTTACTTTATGTTTCGATTACTTTGCAGTAACTGTGATCACTAGACGAAAAGATTTAAGTTAATTAAGATATGTTTTTTTTTTTTGCACCAGTTGACGTTAAATATGAAAATTATTAAAAATACTAGTTTTTGCCCTCGACTTCATCTATGTTAGTTTCAATATTCGAAATGTTCATAGCTGACCGGGCGAGCTCTTCCCTTTAAACAGTAAATAAGAAGAAGAGCTTAGATTTGATTAACTTTTTTTTCTCATGCAAAGTATTTTATTTCATCTCCCTTGTTTTAAGTTATCTCTCTACAAATTTTAGCCAAATCCGTATAGCCGTTCTTGAGTTATGTGTAGTGTAACTAACACGACTTTAGTTTGTATATTAAGATTGGGGTATTCAGATTATTGAGGTACAATTTGTCTAATAGATGTATATGTATATATTATATAATATGTATTAAAATAATATTTTCTATAAATATATTTCTAGGTTGAATTACATTTTAAAACTTATAATAGCAGTTTCATAGAATAATATATATTCTTTATTTTTATATTAAATTGAATATAAAATGATTTTTGAAGAAATACAAATAATTATAATAAGACAAACCGTAGTCTATAAGCATAATACAAAAAAAAAACGTAAAAGTAAAGTTATGTCATAACAACTAGACTTACATATCAGACATTTAAGCTAATTACTTACATAAGGTAAAATTGTTAATGTGTTCAATATTAATTAATTATTCATAGAAAAGGCTTTAATTATGATAGTTAAATATTTTTATATATAAAACCCACACATACATACAAACCTCTCAAGCTATAAATAAAATATTCTCGGTCTTACGCTAAGGTTTGGAGCAATCACATCGCATCATTTGTTTATACTACGACCAGAATTCCTGCATTTGCTACGAGAATCCGTAGAGGTTCCGTAGCACCATAACGAACGTAGCGGCCCGTAGCTGCTCGTAGCTAAATTACGTCATGCATTACGCATTAAGCTGCTACAGTCTATTAAAATGTAGACCACCCTCAGATATATCAACTTAGTGTACCGTAAGTAACTGTAGTGGATATTAGTATTATATAAATAATACATTATATGTAAGTGCTTAATATGTATATCAACATTTATATGGCTAGTAATATTCGTTTTTGTTTATAATTATTTACATAAAAAAATATATGTTTAATCGTAGTAAAATATTTTTTTAATAAAAGTGGTTTATAGTATTAGTAAGCTATTAGGGTATTGTTATTTTGAATAAAATTGGATTAAAAAAATAAAAAAAATAATTACGGAACGTATTTTCACTATAATCCTTAATTGCTAGCATTAAATTGTTGCTTGAACAGTTTCAATCGAATATATCGTTGATTTCATTCAAACCACGAAACTCCTTAAGGCTCTATTTGATTCATACCGAGAAAGAAACATAGAAATATCGAATTGAAATATATCATATATTTGTTGAATATCAATTGATTCGATGGTAACGTCTTAATACGTATTGACAGATCTTAAAGGTCGTGAAACAGTAAGTCAAAAATCGATTTAGTTCCAAAGTATTGAGGTCTCGAGGTGTAGGGCCCTCTGTGTCGAGTATCAGCTGGTGCGCATGCGCGGGGGGCCCTCTGACGTCATCAGCCCGGCCTCGCCAGTACCCGCGGCCGCGCGACAAGTCACGCGCGACTACCGCCCCACAATCAAAACGAGCTTCCTATCCTCTAATTCTCAACAATAACAATAAAATACCACAGATTATATATAATACCACAGATTATATATAACAGCACAGATTATACATATTACAATACAATGGACACGTGATGTGATTCTTGCGTTGCTCCAGTGTGTATCGCTTAAGTATTATTGATATTATTATAACATAACTATATATGATTTTTATTTTGCTTGTTTAATTCTTTTAGAGCTATTATTATTTTATAGTTATTTTAATATTATAATGCTCACGCTACTATGACCGTGATCATAATAGGACCGCATGCACAACCTAATTGAGCTTTGTTTATATGATCGAACACCGCAATGTACAATTAATAAATCATAATACTGCTATTTAAATTTCTCCCATTGTTTCCTACATTCTTTTATTCATGAAATGACAAAAAACACACGTCGCAGTTTGTTATAAATAATTTTCATTCAATTATTTTCATAACTATTATATGTTATAAATATTTTTTCATTGAACATTTTCAAGTAATGTATTTAATTTGATTTAACTGTTTTAATTTATTCTTATATATATTTTTTCTATAATTAAATTAGGAAGTGATTGTAATTAATAAAAAATATATATATAATAACTATCATTTGAATAATTTTTACTTTATAATTCAGTTTTAAAAGTAAAGTCATTCTTTAAAGAAAACATATGTTTTAGTTAGCTTTTTCAATAACATGCATTGTTTTCAAAAATATTGTACTTATTTTATATCAAAATACATTCAAAAAATCTAACAAAGTATTATATACGCTGCAAAAAACGAATAACATTACAATAGAATGTACAATTTCTTTATCCAATTCCCTTTTTTCTTTTGTATAAGACCCAAACTATTTAGGCGAGATTTTCCTAAGACCGTGAACAGTTGCCTCCAGCTAACAAGAGCTAAATCCATTTTCTCCTCGGGCGACAAAAAATTACACAGAGCGTCGGTCACAAGATAAGCCATTCATGTGTTAGGTTGCTATAGAATATCAATACTACATAATATTTTGGCTTTCAACAAAAAAATCCTCCGAACATAACCCCTCATTTCATATTTTGCATAATTTATAATGAAATTAGATAGTGCTTGGTTACAATACTTGATGCTAAGTAGAGATGTAGTCTTGCCTTACTAAAAGCATAGTCATTATTTCCTTGAAGACATTCCAGAAAAGTTAATGAGTATTATATAATAAAGTTGTTAATTGTTACAATTCCTAATATACCTTTTAACCTTTTAAAGGCGCTGAACCTTAGTCAAAGTCGAACCATGTTTTTTCATTACTGAACATATGTTACTTTTGCTACATCTGTTACTGTACTCATCATATGCATGACTCTTCCATACTTATTTATGTATTCGTGTACTTCTGAAACCCGTATGCCTATTCCGATCCACTTATATTCAAATGTTATATCAAAGTGTTTATATCCGTTAACATTTGTATGACACTCACAGACGATATGAGTGAATTACATTTATAGCGGTGTATTACTTTATGTAATACAATGTTACTGGCAAACTGCCTGCATTTTTATTACCATCAATATATAAAACCCCTTTTTTTTCTAGTATAATAATTTATGCAATTAATCTGATTTTAAATTTATATAAATATAAAGTAGATATTACATGAATATCTTTACATGAATTCTAAATATTAGTTTATATATATATATATATATATACTTTCTTTCTTACTACCTGACCACGTATGACACCAGCTTCTTTAATTTGGTGTCAAAAAAATATTGAAGCTTTCAAAATATTATCAAGAATAGCTCGCACATCCCTTTTTACAGCACAATGCTGTTCTGTATTTGCAGTCCTAATACGAGTCTTTGTTTGAAAAAGTAAGGACGTGGATTCATCGTGATTTGAAAGCACGATACAATCTCAGGTATACCTTTTAGAGGAGAAAAGTTCTGTTTAAAAAAACCTAAATGCACTGCTCCATATAAATCCAACTAATTCAATTATTATTGGAATAATAAATTATGTCTAAATATGATTATAAAGTATAATTCAATTAGATCGAAAGTTATCTTGTTATTCCAAGTTTGGGATAATCAAAGATTCGTTACTTTAAAATTATTTAATAGAGTGAAGGGAGTAGTATTGAGAACAATTGTGTTTTCCATCAAATATTAAATGTAATTTTCTAGACTAAACAATAATAAGTATAATATTCATCATGAAAAAGTTACAATTTATTTGTACTGACTCTCACAATACTTTGCTTTTATTTGATTTTTTTTTATTATAAATCTATATTAAAAATACGCACACAGCCAACATATTGTAATCAGCATACAAATTAGGAACACACCAGACAATCTTTATAACTTTCTACTCATTATTTATAGGAATTTAATTATACTAATATAAATTTTCATTTATAAAGATGATTGAGAATTAAAGCGGAGGCTCGTTTTAAAAAAATAACTTCAGTATTTGGACGATATTAATGAATTTCATTCATCAAAGTCATCGCTGATACAAAAAAATATAAATAAACTGAACTCATAAAAAAGCGAATTGTGATTATCGTAAAAGTGACTTGAGAGGATCGTGCAACGAACTCATTCCTAAACATCGAAAAACATTACAACATAAATAGTATTATAATCGAGTTATAAAGTATTCGTCGAATTAAAGTTACAAAATAAGTGTAAGTTCAAGTGTGACTGGACAAGTGATAAAAGAGGTTCTATTGGTTTGTAATGTTATGGTGAAGTTGTGAAGAGGCGAGCTGGGCGGAGGAGGTTCGCGGCACGCTGGCTGTGATGCGATGGGCCAGGACTGGTGCTTCCGAAGAAAAAGGAAGCGCAGCAGCAGTCAGGATGACTCCCAACCGCATCACACCCGGTAAAACTTCAACACAACCCAACTATATACAACCATCATTGTATTTTTGCTTCTATGTCATACAATTTATATAATATACGATAATTCTTTTACAAGTCCATAAATTGTAGAAGTATAGTTATGTAACAAAAATCTATGAATAGATAATAATTTGCGTCAATATTATAATTTTTATTTCAATCAGATGAATTCTTTAAAAGTAAATGTAACAAACCTAAACAGAAACGACTATTGAGTCGATAAATTTAGTAACAAATTTTATTTTAACAACGATTTAAAAAGAGCAAAATATTTCTGTTGTCTTACACTATAGAAAATGATGTGTAAACTTTTGATGTCATCCAAAACATCAGTTATGTGAGCAAGTGAAGTACAAAGGATATAATAACCTATTAACTTGCCGCTGCAGGCCTCTATTAACTGCGGGCAGATTTAGACCCATTACTGAGCTTAGGGGAATATAATGTATGTGGACAACATAGGACAAACCCCACTAAAGTTATTGTTTGTGAATAATTACTTTGAAGCCGGCTTTAATATAACTTCGTCAATGTAACTGAGGGGATTTTTAATTGTTTTCAAACATGATTATAATAATTACTTATTTTCATTACATAACATTGTATTATATTAATTTTTGGTCAATATCTGAAATGTTTTTTGACATTAATAATCTGCAAATGAATAGAAAAAGTATCTTACGAAATGACACAAAATTAATATATATATATCCTTTATTGCACAATAAAAGAGACAGAAAATAACATAATAGAAAAGAAAACATACAAAGGCGGACTTATCTCTAAAAGAGATCTCTTCCAGTCAACCTATGGAGGTGAGTGATAAAAGTCATATAGCGGGCGATTTAGTGCAGACTACTCTTTATATACTTACATACATTATAAAATAATATTTATATAAATAAACATACATACACATACATACACATATATACATAAATAAATACATATCAACATATACATATATACGTACAAAACAATGTAATACATAAATACATATATGAAGAGATCAGTTTATGAGTAAGGGTAAACTTGGGCCAGGAAATGCTGTCTTAAACGTTTTTTGAAAATATCAATAGTGGTACTATCCTGTATGAATTTTGGAAGTTTGTTCCATAGCAGCGGAGCTCGTACTGTGAACGACCGAAGTCGAAATTTGCTGTTACTCCGAGGCACGTCAAGCATCGTAGTGACGCAAGAACGCCTGGAGCGGGTCGAAGGAGGAAGCAGGTTAAGGCGGGAGCTGAGGTATTCAGGAGTATTAGGGTTTGTAAGAATATTGAATAGGACCGAAAGGATGTGCATATCACGGCGAAATCGAATAGGCAGCCATTTAAGTTGAGCGCAGAAGAAGGAAACATGGTCGAACTTACGTAGCCCGAAAATAAAACGAATAGCTAGATTTTGTAAGCGCTCTAACTTATTAAGCTGCTCTTGTGTCACATCCAGAAAGCAAACATCAGCGTAGTCGAGAATAGGGAGAAGAAGAGATTGAGCGAGCATAATTTTGGTGTTGAAAGGGAGAAAATATTGGAGACGTTTGAGAGAGTGAAACGTGAAATGCATACGCTTACTAACATCGTTGAGATGAGAAGTCCAAGACATGTTGCAGTCAATGATCAGGCCCAAGTTTTTGACACTTTCACGATAGGCTATTGGAACCCCAGCAAACTTGATACAGGGCACAGATGGCCAGTCAATTTTACTTCTTAGCCTGCTGCTACCTATGATCATTGCTTGAGATTTGACAGGGTTCACCAGTAAACCAAAAGATTTGGCCCATAACTGAACAGCCGAAAGGTCTTCGTTTAATCTGTCAACAGTCTCAGACAACTCACTCAACTGACAATGACGATACAACTGTAAGTCATCTGCATACAGATGAAAGGGAGAAGAAATGACACGGGAAATATTGTTAATGAAAACAGAAAAGAGAAGTGGAGAGAGTACACCGCCTTGAGGAACACCGGCAGATAAGTTAGACCAATCAGACGATGAATCTACAGTTTTCACGCACTGCCGGCGACCGAAAAGATACGAGTGAAACCAATCAATGGCAGAGGAAGAGATATTAACCGCTCGAAGGGTACCAAGAAGAATGTCAAAATCTACAGAGTTAAAAGCACTGCTGAAGTCTAACAGAACAATTACAGTAACTTTGGTGGTATCCATAGCATACCGAATGTCCTCAGTTATATTCAGCAGTGCTCCAACAGTGCTGTGAGAGGGACGGAAACCGGATTGGAAAGGACACAGGAGGTTGTTGGTGGTAAGGTAGGAGTAGAGTTGTTTATGAGCCACAGACTCAAGGACTTTTGAAAGGATAGGCAGTATCGATATGGGAATTAATTGATTTTTTACTGGAAAGAAATATAATATCATATTCATATTTCAGAACTGAGATATGAGAATACAATTTAAGTCTTATGTCCATTAATTAAAATGTTTTATTATAAGAATCATAAATTAAATACTAAGAATAAAATGATTTCATATGTATATTGAGGGAAATTATATATAAATAGCGCTTCATACTGCCTGTTTCTCCCTTAATACCGTCTAAAGCAAAATATTACTCCAATTCACTACAAAGTGTACAAAAAACATCTAACTGTCATTAAAAATTTAAAATGGGCTTTTTCGTTGATATCTCTTCGCTGTCTTTCAGCAAAGAAAAACGATTCAATTGTCATAAACTAAAATAAAAGGGACCCGTCGTATTAAAATAAGGGATTAAGAAATGCAATCACAATAACAAACGGAAGCCGTAATAAAGATGAGAAGAATAATGAAACGCAAAATCCCCATGAAAGATAGTATATTATAATGCAGGAAATAAAACATTTATATAAAGTTTTAGGAAAATTCAACGAGATTGATTACACGTTTCATCTTCTTAAAGAATTAAGACGGAGGGTATCCTGACTCCAGAGTCACTTAACGCCCCTTTTAGTATAACATTTTAACTTACTATATTTTCATAATTTACTTGTATATTCTTAATCTTTTATATAACAACAGTATAAGATAAAAATATTACGTTTAATTGTGATTTAATTTTATAACATAAATTACATAATTGGAAATAACTTGATTAAGTCAATAATATTAGATTAAGGGACCAAACTTATGACCTTAAATCTACCTGGTATAGACATGTTAAAAGCGTACAGAAGGTTTAATCATAAACAGTTAATTTTGTGTGTGTGTGCCGTATGAGTTGGAAAGAGAAAAGAAATAATGACAGAGATAGATATAGTACACAATGTAATAAAAAGAAATACATAAGTGTGTTATTCTAGAACCAATATATCATTTTAAATATAGAGTTATAAATTAATTTCTAAATGTACTTATTTATCTGCATATTCAAGTCAGTCCGACGTGGACGTAATTGCGTCTACGTGCAATCTCTCAGCTTTAATATAATTAGATGCGCCATTCTAAATCGCATGAAATGATTATTGTACGTTCGCCTTGATACAATGTTGTATTACGTATCATTTTTATTGCTATACATTAAATATTTCAAAGACAATTAAATGAAACGGAAATCTAAACAATTTATAATAATGTAAAATGTATAGTAAGTTTCTGATTGAGACCTGTTTATACTTTATTTTTATAGGAAACAAGATAGTTGTTTAAAAAAGGGTATGTAATTGAATTTGTAGTCTTAAGTGCACTTAAAGCGTATTTGAAACGAAGTCTATTCATACAGATAGTAGTTAGTTTTACTTTACTCCACAACGAACTTAAAATTAAGGTGTATGTTTCGTTTCATGGTTGTTTCCTACAAAAATGATTCGAATTGCTACAAAATACAATGCACAAACAACAACATCATTATACATTGTAACATATTACTGTTCATCAATATAAGTATTTTTCAGACAGTTATGAATATTTACCGCACGACCTTAAAATTTATATTTATTCTTACTACCTCGTAATGTGTAGGCAAATGTGTTTTCCCTTACCTTCCTTTGATGTCACACTTTATTGGAAAAATCTCATTGGGAGTAACATCAAAAGAGCTCTTAAATTTACAAATCTAACAGAATTTTGAAGACGTAATTATGTATATCATCATTATATCTTAGTACTCAAAACATGATAATATTTGTATTATTTTCCATGATATAATACAATAAAATAAAACGAAGTTTGTAACGCAAATTATGTTACAAAAATTTATTATTTAATATCGTCTTATTTTACGAAATTAATTCATTATAAGTAAATGACTCTTATTGAATTCGATAGTATTACTTATGAAGTCATTTCAAAAAACTTTTATTTTTCGTATTATTATTATTATGCATTATCATTATTTCATATATAAAAAGATTTCAAACATTCCTATTGTATATATACATATGTATGTATTTCTATTTGGATTATATAGAAGGAATAGCGCTTTTAGATTTTCAATATGTTATTTTTAAAATTTACTAGCTGAAGATGCTTGGAGCATAACTAAATTATGATTCAACTAAGATTTAATCTTCAATATTTCATATTATCAATAAACGAGCTCTGGTTCTCATAGCGGGAAACTATTATAGTACTATACGTTACAGTTTTTGATTCCCTTTTCCTTAAGGAACGTGGATAACCGTCATTCCCGGATATTATCACTTAGACTTTATACAATATAACAGTTATCAAGTCCCCGGAGTAGGTTTAATGTATTTTTTTTCTAACTTAACTTAGTTTTCTCTTTAACAACCAGTACTATTAATTCAAATATTTTATTTTAATTTTTTGGATTTGTTTAATGGAAGCCCTAATAACTATTTATGATATATGTAATACAGGTTCGGAGTTACTTAATTAGCACTATATTTTTAGCAGAATGACTCTTATGGTTTACATATCAACATGCGATTAATTAATTTCTGTAAAGTTTATCATATATTTTTGAGGCAAGTTAAATACAAATTTAAGTAGTTTTTCTTAAATTTGACTGATTCAAAGGTTTTTAAATATATTTAGCAATATGTTTATACAGGGTGACTGGTGAATTACTATCGATATTTGAGGACGTGATAGTTGACGATCATATATGACAAAATAAAAATTAATATAACATAAATATTAATAAACTTCTAAGTAAAGTTAACCAAAAGTTATGTAATTAATTACGCATCGTATGAACACCCTACAGATTAGGTATACACTGACACTCACACATACGCATGTCTTGACGTGGTGTTGTATCAACACGTCGCCGCACGCGTCCACACTTGAACACTTGGAACGTGTCAACACTTTACTTATTTATACGGAAATTTTGTCAAAAATTAAGTGCCTATTTTTTTTTACATAATTCGAATGAGAATCATGTACCGAGTATGCTCCTTAAATATTTATAGTAATTCACCAGTCACCCTGTATAATTTATTATGTACTTAATGTATATTTTGATACAATATTCATATTATTATAAAAATTCTCAATTAATATATTGATACAAGGAGTAATTTACATTATTACACTAATTACAAAGAAAATGAGTAGTGGTCGATTACATATGTTTATATATTCATAATTACTGTCAACTGCGGCTCATATTAATAAATTTATTGATGGAATTAATTAAAATATTAATAAGGTTATGTAATTTACAAAAATCTGTCGAAGGAATAATGATATAACTTCGTATACATACATTAATTAAATTTTAATTTAAATACTGTTATTATAATGAAATGTACATAAATAAATTGATTAACATTTAATAATACACTGCCAACCTGGTGACATAAAATATAAATGACGTAGGAAAAATACATTATTTTAATAATAATGAAGTAGCTATATTATAAATTGCGTTAATATATTAATTTTCAAATATTACTTAGAACTATATCTGAATTGAATAACAGTAATCTTACTAAGCGTTTGCTGTCATCTAAGTAAGTACAGACAGTTTCCAGTAATCCATTCAGTTACTCGTTTCTATATTTAGCATCAACATACCTACGAGTAAATAACAGTTTGCACTCACGTCGACTCGTATTTCTGTTGTTGATATCATGTGCAAAGAAACTTTAAACTGTACCAGTTCAGTTCGACAATCTAAATCTTGGTAAGGGTGAAATAAAATACTGTAAATATGAAGTATACTTAATTTTCTCTTACTACTAGTCATCAAATATAAACTGTGTTCTAAGGAAGTAGGAAAGGGAAAGATTTTGTATCGTTCTCGTTAAATATGCTTAAAACAACATTTAGATAGGACGGAATAAACAAATAAATATTTTTGTATAACGATAATCCTTTTAAGTGTTGATAATCAAAAACTTGTGTAATACTAATTGTTTGCGGAAAGGATTATGTCACATCGAGGTTGATGACTGCATTACGGAGTGACAGCGGTCAAGTTCGCTAACCACGTGCTCCGACCGTAACTCTATGTATATAAGACGCCTTTGCAATGTTTATTTAAGATAGGATAACATTTTATTATCGCTAAATATATATACCTTCAAAATATTTAGCGTAACACAGTCCGTTATTATATAATCGATATTTTAAAAATAGATTTTATAATAATTTATTAAATGCTTTAAAAATGTTGAGTGTTTTGTCCATCATATGGGTAAAGATAAGAATTTTATGTCTTCTTTTGTATCGTATACCATTTTATGATATAATATGGCTCTAACAATGTTATAACCTAAATTATGAACCTGAAATCAGTTTCCTCATTCAGAACCACCTTCTAGTAAGTTTCGTGACCTATAAACGAACGCACATTTTGTGTTGAATCGAAGTGTTCCTTGGGTGTAGGAAGTAGAGCATCAGTTTCAATGAGAGGGAACGTGACTTGCGTCGTTTCTTATACGAGAGATGCGTGTCGACGTACGCATGCGGCTCGCCCCCATTCGACCCCCGGCAAAATGGCGATGCCAACATGGCCGCCGGGCAGCCGCAGGATGCTCCGCGAAGCGACTCCTGTCCGAAACACCGTTGACACGATTTCCTCGTCGGCTATACGTTATAACACGCATTTCCGCATAACCGACAGTGCCATCGATTTAACGCCCGCGCCCAGACGGCGCGTTTTCAGCAAACCGCGCGTGCAACAAGTGATATCGCTTTAGAAGTAAAGATAAACAACGCAGTAAAGTATACTGGCTGTGATGTGACCGCGGGTCGATTATAAATATAGAACGTGCCCTTTTGTTGAGTGGCGGCGCGGGTGAGCCTAGCAGCGTGATGTCGCGATCGCCGGCTCATGTTCCCCGCGCCGCGCAAACGACAACAGTGCCCGGTCACTAGAAAACGCTTCGTATATATGATACAAACATGCACTCTGGCCCTGACTCTTGCTTTGAATTGTTACGAAACACAGTGTTCAGTTTGATAATCACTAGCGACATATTATATTGCATGCAATCGATATAATTATGCACTTAATAGGTATCATTAAGTCTTTTTATTAAAAAATGATAGAGCGATAAAACGAGCGTAGCGTAAATACTAGAAACGACACTTGAATTCTACCAGTAGTATTCGCGATCGCGTGTGCAGCGTTTGTCGTACACGGAGCACGTGCGTCCCACGCCGCCGAAATGTTTTACGCAATAGGATTCCGAGTCGGGATAGTTTCAAGGTGTGACTAAATTTAAAGTGAATAAAGACAAATGCATTTTATAAGAAAGTGTCTGTGGAGGTTGGGCCGGAGACGAGTCAGGAGGATAGCTCGGTAGGCGTTATGATCACGGTGGTGTTTGCGATTTGGTCAGCGGCGCGCGCGCTCGGCTGGGCTAGCGAGGTGCCGGCCACCTCGCCTGATGCCGAAGAACCGCCTGTGCTGCCTCGGCTGCGATCAGCACGAGCCTCCAGCGACCTCTCCACACTCAGCACTACCACAACCAGCTCTAGCCAGACTAGTACTGGCGACTATTCTAAGAGGTCAACGCATTAATCCCATACTGATAAGACCACAACCGCCTTTATTTATAAACATAACTGAATTAATACAAATAATATAATAAATTACGAAGATTATTATTTTAATGATTTAATACCGATTATTATAAAGTTATTCATGTTTTTTATGTTACGTTCATCTGTAATAAGTCGATTCGTAACAGAGTTTAATTAATGAATTATTCCGCAAAATACGATAGAGTACAAACTTCAATTATCAACTATGAACAGTCATCGAATGACGCTGATGACTGTAGAAGGCCACGTAATAGATAAATACACACAGTAACATGTAGTATTATATGAAATTACAAACATTAAACCTTTATGTCAATTCACAATGTTTTTTTTATGATATGTATTTGCCGCTTGTTCAACAATAATGATACTTGAAAAATACATAAAATATTTATTCATTCACATTGACTATATATTCGAAATTTGAATCTGTATAAGTAAAAGCAATTATATATTATTCAAATAATTATTTAATTTACGTATAATAAATAACCAAATGTATAAAATAAGTATGGACTAATTAGTTTAAAATGATACCCTTTATGGTTATTACCGGGAGACAACAAATTAATTGGTAATAATTAAAAGGATATAACTCAAAGTATTATTAATAAAAATTAATTAATAGTGAACGATGGAAAATGAACTCTTGAAATTTGTTATGCATTTCACATTTTTTTAAATCTAAACAATACAAACGTAATGGCCACAACTTCATCTCTCTTTTTCGAAGTTTTGAGTCTAAGACAGACAGACACACAAAGTTGACTTTAAAATCTATATTTATTGATCAATTAAATAGTAATGTACGTCATATCTATCGAATATTGAAAAAATAGATGAACATGACAGACCTGTATATAAATAAAACTTTGAATTGAAATGACATTTATGTTATTATTCTTCGTCTACTATACAATAAAAAATGTATCATCTACATCATATACATGATAATAGACGAAACTTGGGTAAAGTTTGTAGTATCAACAATATATATACATATACCAATATTGTTATCTATTTCTAGTTTTCATTTAAGAGCAAAACAATAAGAACATTCCTTGCAATTAACTATCAACTGTTAGAACAAAGATAAGGCTCATACAAATAGATAAGCGACACTTGAAACACGCCCAATTGTAATTGATCTCTTGTACTACAATTATTATTATTAATTGATATAATTTACTTTAAAAATATATTGTTATTTAGTGTGACCTAAATTTTATGTATTTCCATTTATCTCATAAAGTTAAAAAAGTTTGCGATCCTCGTTTTCAATCCATTTTATCGTATAAAATTTGAAAATTAATTAAAAACTTCAATTTGTTTCTGTTTAGTTATTATTTTTTTCATATATTGTCAAATCAAATTTACGTACGAAAACTTTCAAACGGGTTGTATTTAGGTAAATGTTATCATACTAGTACTTGGGTACTTTAATCAATTTACACGCGATCTAAAATCCATTTTTAGATCCCCGCTCTGTTCTCAGCGTTCATAAATAAAAGGGGCCATTAATGTTTTTAAGACACTCGGTTTCTTAGAACACTGTATCGTATTTTATCATTTAAGCATTTTGAAGAGTTTATATCAAATTAATAACCTGGAAGTTTATTCCCTCCCTTTTATTTCAATGAAATTTCTGACCACTTGAATGATCGCATTGTAATGAAATTATTTTTCTGTTTTATAGCTCCGTAAGATACTTTAGACAGGAATAATTATATTCAAACAGGAAGCTTTTGGTTTCAGTTTACGATGAAAATGGATTTTGGTGTTTGTTGATTTAATTTATAAATTTATTCGGTAAACAGACTTATTGATAACTAAAAATCAAAATACATAACACAATCTGATACTTAAATACTTTTATTCATAACTTCATATATTAGTTTATGATAATTATTTAATTAAATTGTATATTTTATACTTTGCAATACAAACTTTGAAATAAAATACATATGTTATCACGTAAAGTTTTAAAACGATAAATTGTTTTTAAAGACGTAAAATGTTAGAATAATATAATTAGGTACATAAGATTGATATTAAATGTACATACATCTTCTTTAGAGACATAACAATTTCAATACTCAATAAGTTAATAACCTCACTCTATTTTCATATCAAAGTATAATTTTTATGTTAATCTCAAAAAAATCTTAATATTTCATTATCTTTTAAAATATCGATCATTTGCAATCGACGATAAGATTACTTCAAATGTCGTCGCGTTATATACGTATTGTACATATTTATACGCAAGATTAATATCTTAATATATAAATTTATCATTCACGATAACTTCTTATCACTTAATAAATAGGATTTAAAGCTTTTTATAAAACTATCTAATATCTATGTTTCATCATTCAAGGAATATCGATTGATGATTTCGATGTTATCTGTGCCATAGATATATTTTTATTAGAATAACAAAGAAAAGGATTATTTTTTATTAAAATAACATAAATAATAACATTTATGATGTCACAAGTCGTAGTAATTGGTTGGTACTTTATTTTTCATATACATATAAAAGTATTAAGTTTTCGTTAATTAACAAAACCGTCCGTTCCTATTTTCTTTTTCAAAAGCCGCTATCAAATTTCAATAACATTATTCAATAAGCTTTCAAAGTTTCAAAATAATGTTTACGGAAGATGGAAATTTACGAAAGAGGTAGCACGTTCACGAGTATTCAATCTATTAACTCAGGAGATTGTTCAAACTTCACAGCACTTCAACATTTAATAATTGAGATATAAAATTAAAAACATAAACCATTTATAATTATAACTCTCATTTAATTATTACGTAATGATAATTTTCACTTGTTAGTTACTATTGGACTGAAACTAACTATTTTTAAATTCTATTTCAATCGGCCTTCTCATAGATCACTTTTCTGATGCCCAGCCAGATGTTTCAACATTCCAAATAATCAAACATAATGTTAATTATATATAATAACACACTAAAACCATCATCTTACATAAGCCCATTAATAATAGTCAAATACGTAAGTACAATATTATATTATTACTTTAGTTTTATTGCCTATAAACCTATTCTAATCTCATACTAAACATATGTTTAATAATAGTACGGCGGTTGTGTCTTATCTTGTAGATATTATCGGCGACAATCTATAAGCTTGTAGAATAATAAATGAAGTCATACCACTTAACGATAATGTGTTATCACGTAATAGTTTAAAAAAAATACATATATAAATAATGTTACTTATAACTTATAAGTAATCGTAAAATGTTGCCTCGGTTCTGAGCTGGTGTACTGGTTGGTTAGGGCTGGTATTGACGTTAATGGAATGATAGGTGGAGTGAAGCCCCAAGACGCTGGAGTGCAAGGGGTGCGTCTCGACGGCCCCTGCGCCGACCGCCAGTTTCCGCAAGAAGAAGAACAACTGGCAGGTATAAATTAAGAGACGACCTTTAAACGGCAACCGTCGCTATGAGAAATGACTTAATAGTTGTTTTTATGCCAGTTATTCTCATAAATTGCAATAAAATTATAAAAATATATTTATTATATGTATAAGAGTGAAAACAAAGGTGTACGTCACTGATGTAAATGATAAGACGTATGATGTAGTAATGTAGGTACGTATAAAGGTAACGTAATCAACACAGATAATGTTATTAAAAAAACATCTTAATATATCGAATAAGAATAATTTGTTTTATTCATGCTACAAAAACAGTAAACAGAAAATGTATTATGTGGTAAAAAACTATAGATTTTTCATATTTATATTTTTAGAGACCTCTATCGGCATAATAACGAACAACAATCATCCCACTCTCCTCCTCAACTTCGTCAAAATCACGACAGATGTCGCTTATACTCTTAAAAACGAGATTCATCTACTCTCGATTTGAAGAGCTATAGATACGAACTGAAGCCATTTTATATGATTAAAAATGTTACTTATTCCTTATATTACTACTATTATGTTATAAAATCCTCGATTCATTCATCAATTGAGATATATCAGCAGAAATAATAGATATTAATTTCAATATCACATAATTAATTTATTAATTGCCTTGTTGGTTGTTTTTTTTTTCAATCCTTGTATATTTATCGACTAACGAGTATTAGATTTAATAACAATTGCCATTTTATAATTTAAGTCTTTGTGCATTTGTATCTTACGACTAGATACATACATATTTAGCCTCGTGCATATTTAACATTCAAATACAACAAACAAAACCTATCCTTGGACAAACGTCAAAACTTAGTATGTATATATGTACCGGTTTAATATTATACCTTAAGAAAACTTAAAGGATCTAGATTAAAAATATTATCTTACCTTCTTTACAAATGTACGAGTATTCTCGATATCTTCCCAGTGTCGGAATAATGACACGCCGGGATTGGTTCAAAATTCTTTTGAATCTTTGATCTGCAGTGAAATCGTAACAATATTTTTCGAGCGAGTTTAAACAGAAGCTATGGATGAATATCAGAATATTTAGTTTCATACTTTATGTGGCGTCAATTAGGTATATTCAATATTAGTATATTTAATAAGACAAGACATAGTTGTCTTCTTGATTTTATTACACTTAACAAATAAGATCAGGTTTAAATATTGGTACCCATAGCAAATATGTACTTCTTTTAACTACTGGTTATCCGACACTATATCTTCCTCAACTTTATTGAATCTTATTACTAAACTGGCCAGGTAAACTAATCTATTATTTTAAACGAAAGTTTTACATAAGTAATCAATTTTTTACCTACATTTTATAAAATGGTTCGGTAAATTATTAAATACAGATAGTTATAATACATTTCAGGAAGGTAATGCAATAATGATTACATTTCGTTTACCGAACCAGAGCTATTAGGTTATCCCGGACGTATTTCTATACATAGATTTAGTAAAATAACCACATTTAGTTCGGTTTTTGGGTGTAATACGTTATTGGGGTTTCCTTCATATGTCTATAAATCCTTCAGAACTAAATAATATCGTGAGACGTTACCTTCGTATGAATTTGAAGGTTCTTTGTTGTTAAGCTTCAACGAATTCAACATGTGTTTTAGATAGGTACCTACAACTAGAGACCCGCCTCTTATGATATGTTAAACTACTTCAATTAAACCATATTATTATTACGATTATAAATATGACGATATTATGTTAGTATATTCATTATTTTAATAGTGGAGCAAAACGTTGTCTGAATTTCTTCATTGTAAGATTAAACCTCATTAATAAAGTTCAGTCAGAGAAAGAAAATTACTGATTTGTAATATAGGAACTCGAATTAGTATGTCGAAATGTTTGTAGATCAAACTTTAAGTATTATTCTTAAGTATAAATGTTAAGATATCATAAAATCGTTCTCAGGTGCAACAAGAGAGATATAAAATTACTTTATAAATGAGTGTTAATCCTTTGTTTGTTTCAGCTTCGATGTGGAGAATGGCGGAGGTGCGGTGGCGGGGGCGAGGTCCCCGCTCGAGGGCGGATCACCCTCAGCCGCACTCGTACTCCAGTCCATGCCGCAGCGCCGCGAATCCTTCCTCTACCGATCCGATTCCGACTTCGAAATGTCTCCAAAATCCATGTCCAGAAACAGCTCCATTGCCAGCGAAAGGTAAGTGTCACAAACCTTTAGGTACGATGTTTAAGAAAACACTACACAAAGAAATATTGTTATACGTAAAAACAATTGCATAACGATTTATACAATATTGGCATAATACGGTTATTGTATATACCTTCAATTAAATAGAGTATTAGAGCAAATACGTCTCTATGCTATGGTACGAGTATACCAATTTGCAAACATTTTAGTCTTTGCTGATGTATTAGTTTCTCGTACCAAGTCCCGTTTGTACTGTTTTGAGAATAAATTAAACTTCTATAACCCAATACATGCTCTGATAAATACAATTTAACGAGTCTGTAATCGAATGAATATCATCTAAAATTTATTTCGGTAATAAATCTTTAAAATAAATAAAAAGTTGAATATACCTACTCTTTCTTGGTATTTCAATGTACTGAGTATTTTAATAACAAAATTATTTTTCAACATAAACAAATCCAATACACGTTTGAAATACAAAACTTAACATAGAAATACAAATAACTTTCTCTAGCACCGTCCTTAAAGGTACTTAAAGAAAATACTTCTTATGCAGAATTTCATAACACACTACTTATTATAACTGAAGGAAACGCATAATATATATTATGTTGATATCAATATAATACATGTTTTGTATCAAAAATATTAATTAATTTAAAGTTAAACACTGTTCAGCAAAGATTATGACTAATGTTTACTCCTATTGATATTTCGTTGTTGCATAAAGTATACAGAGTCTAAATTATTAAATACATATTATGTACTATTTGTTATAAAAATCACTTAGTCCGTTATATATAAGCGAGAAGAAAGGCTATGGAAGAAATGATATTATAATTATTATAAAATATCTATTAAAGTTAATATTACATTAACTTAGCGAAATATCGTAAAAGGCGAACAGAATATAATAAAATCTTTATAAATTATATATCAATTTGTTTTATATTAAAGACATAAGAATATAGCAACACTAAACAAAAAAAAAATTAAACAACTACCAGCTCTTTATTTTTTCAGTAACACATTTTTTTCCTTTGTTGTGTGTTTAAATATATTTTTACGCATTAATTAATACATTTAACGAGCAATGCTATTATTAGATTTAATAAATTGAAATATTAATTCAAAAATACATAAAAAAATATTTTAATAAACGTACACGTGCACTTGTTTTTTTATATAATTAATAAAACCTTTTAGTGAGTTACCGTTTACGAACAAAAAAGCTAATAAAATAAAAATCGATAATATTTTAATCTCGTTCTAATCCAACCTCAAACTTTTCTGATGAACGTGCGTCTCATTAATTTATTAACCCGGATTAATTTAATTATATATATTTTCTTTGATTAACGTTTTTAGCATATTAAAAACCATATTTACACCAATTGTATGACTTATAACAAAACCGGGATTACTTTCTAGAAATGAGTAAGTATTTTTATTTAAATAAATAAGGATTTCGTTAAAATCATAATAAAATAACAAAGGATTTTGAAATCACTGTTACCGTCTGAATTAATTCAATTAAGTCAACAGGGACAATGTAAACAGTCGATAATCTAACGTCAGAATGGTAATATAATATGACAATGAAAGGTACTACCTACTCATGTTGCCTCATCGTTGACTCAACTAAACAATTACAATTCCGAAATAGTACTAATAATTTATTAATTGTTCTGATTTAAATTAAAATAGAACAATTATTTAATTATACGTGTAGATAAATTGAAATTAATTGTATATGTCCACCGGGCACGAAGCAGGCTTAAGCACTAAATTTACACTACACAATGTGAAACACAAGGAAGCCTAGGTTGTTGAAGTGAGCTGTTTAATAAATATGCCGTCTAAATGTTGTGTATAACTAACAGTGAAGTAGAGCTTACTGGTACCTACTGGTAATAGCATGTAATTGGTAATTTATGTGAATGAACCCTGTGTCGTCCTGTGATAGACAGTAAGTAGTAAGTAAATGTTTCAAAAACTTAAATCGGTACGTGAAAGTCATGCTATTGCCACTAATACAAAGCCTTGGAACACTCCGGCACTGGTTCTATCTAGTCTCGAATCGGATGGGCATTGCTGACGCGACCATAAGAGCTTAGGTGTTCAAAGTCTTCGTTCTATCTTTCTTTTCCATATTTTTAATTGCTTACAGATTCAAGGAGGTCGAGGCTGCACAGTTGGACAGAGCGTATGTATATTTATAAGCGCACTTACACGGCATGTCTGCTTTGTTTGCACTCGATTTAAGCATGCTCTTTTGTATGGCTTCCATTCCTTTGTCTCAGGCTGATGTGATGTTTAATGGCTGTTTGTATTGGCTTCTCGTTCGTCTTCTATATATCTTAGATATAATTTAAATTTACTTTTTGTTTCTATGTAATTAGCTATTAAATTAAAATATTATAAAGCGCTTAAAAGCATTCAATTGTTAGATCAAACGGCTGTCTAATCTTAAACATAATTAATAAAAGAAAATTATAAACTCGTAAAAGTAAAAGCTTTAAAGGTTAGCAATCTTCATTTAGAGCAAAGAAAAAATGTATACAATATGTTTATATTACCTCTGTTGAGTTACTTCGAAAAAGAAAAAAACGGGTTTTATGAAAAATAATTCTCGTCCATTTCTTAATACATGAACTTAAATCATTTATTTAACCCGACAAATACAAATATTAGTGAGTAAATAATAATGTTGATTGGAAGTTGAACATATCAAGATAACAATGTTCACATGGCGGTTACGATATAGATAAAATAATATTACTCGTTGCTATAAAGACCACTAGGCAAAATTTTATAATAATATTTTATTTTGGGGATTAAGATAAGAGACAATTTCAGAGTTAACGTGGTTACGTTATTATGAAATGATAAAAAACTAAAAATACCACATATCCTCTTATTATATCCTAGTTTAATATTTTAAATGATACTGTCTTTGAATCTCGTACTCTGTCATACGCCTGCGTCTAGTGAATAACATTCAAATATATTTTTGAATATTAATAGACCGGTCTTAAAGGGGACTTGATTCCTACTTGTCGTTGATAATTCTTCCTGGGAAGCCCTCGATTTCCACGTCGAACATTGATTACCTCCCACCGACGCCAGTTTCCATTAGCGCCAAATTTATCCTCGGGTGAAGTCGCGCTCTCTCGGCGACGGCCGGGCGAGTGAGTGGGACGCCTCAGAGTACAGACTGTGCGCCACCGGCCTCCGGTCTCAGCCTGCCGCCATTGACAGTCCGCGCGGCGCGCCGGCGGCACGCTTCTTTATGTCACACGCATCGCACGACCCGCACTCCGCTGTGCCCATAAACCCCCACGATTAACGATAACCCCATAATGTGACTGATTTTTTTGGGAACCTGCCCACACGTTCTTGTTGACTTAAATATATAGTAATAATAAGTGATCATGCAAAATCTGAACTATACGAAAATCTAATTCAACGATCAACGTGCTATGTACTGGGTGTGTGTTTGTTCGCTGTTGGATAAATTAGAGGTCATTCACTGGTTTGACAAGTCACACCCCCCTTGAGTATTTCATTGCTATCAATGATCGATATTTACATTCTAAGTTGGCTGGCTATTACATCTCAAACATGAATAACAATCACGTAGCCTTATAGAGTCGAGGAACCTTGAAAAAATACAGTAACACATTGTTTTATTGATTATGTTGTTATGTTGTTTACCGAAGTCCGCGAGTAATAAAAACACTAGTTGCGCCGTTGTCGACAGGACGACACCATTCGATAAAATCAGTGAAAAATAAATAGTAAAATAAATACCGCTTCAATCATTACGTGAATTATTCGGTAAAAATCTGATCGTGTGGATTGACTTTACATCGCCATCAGTGTCATTACGAAAACTATGACGTATTACGTTTTTCTGTCATCGTCAATGAAATAAATGTGATGTTTACATAAAAGTGAAGGCTCAAAACTTGATTTTTTCTTTATATCTGTGCAAGATCAAGTTGGTAATGACATTGGTATATTGTGTCATGTCATAAATAGTATTAAGGAGCTGTTAATATGCATCGTTCGGGATCTCAATCTGAGAGACTTGGTGCGAGTGGGGGATCGTTTACCAAGAGTTCAGCTTCGGAGCACAGCATGGCCACAGGTGTGGCTGCCTCTAGCAGCGGTGGCACGCTGCCTCGCACGCTTAGCACAAGCGTTTTGCGTATTAAAAACAGATCCACTTTTTGGGACAAGTTTTGGGATGAGCGCACTAGACGTGACGCGTGAGTAGCTTATTAATAATAATTAATTATACATTTATATAAATTAACTAATTGTATGTGATATATACAATATTATGCATGATTACAGCATAAGTATGATATATAAGACAATTTAACAAAATTTATTAAGCATCATTTTGATTTTTTTCGTTTTTCGTAAGTATATGACAGTAAACTATCGCGTGACTTGTTACAATTATATTCTTACTTTCCCCATTGCAAAAAGAATAGTTTAAAGCTGAAAAACATGAAAACGGCCTTCTTTAAAGATTTACCTTCAATCAGTTACTAGTTAAAAATATATTACTTCTAATGAGAAAAATAGAATTTTCTCATAAATTGATCAACTCCTACGGGAAAACAAAACGGGTAGGCAACTATGCGGAGATAAGATAACCAACTGGAGGTTTTTATTATAGCGATAAGTGAAAAACACTAATATTTAACAGATTCCGAACAGATTTATATTTTTGTTTTCGAAGAATAGCTACCATTCTGGCAGTTTACTCGGCAAATATTAAAAATAATTCTGACTTATATCGTTTTTGGGGTCCATTGTCGTTTGTATTTGTTGTGTTAAAGAGTAAACCCATAAGATTTAATAAACAGAAAAAGAAGAAACGCAAGTGGAATAAGAAAACTATATAATATACAAAAATATATAATATATTCGATGTACTATTAAAAATATAAATTCCATTACGAACACTTCAAAAAAACATTTTGAATGATTTTAATACTGTAAACGAATTAAACTGTTTACTGCGATATATACGTATACATGGAATTGTAATAAAAAATAAAGTCGTTTTTCGACGTAAATAAAAATTGACTTCAATATAAATATAAGATCAGAATTTTAAGATAATAATATTGGAATACCAGCTCTGTAAATTGATAAATTGAAAATTGTTGAAATTCTAAAGGTTGACCTTTACGGGGAGGAAACTGGAAAGATTATTGGATTTTTGGTTTCCTGTCATATTCAACCTACGCAATACAATTGCCAATAGGCAACGTATAAAATATGTTTTACCAGAGACTAGATGAAATAGTCCATTCATAATAGTATATTTTTACTAAACTTCAAAATAATTTCTTGTTTATATAGAATTAAAACTTAATTATATTGAATTAAAACTTTAGATAAATAATTAATTAATTAATGTTAAAGACGAGAATATCAGGTTAGGGCTATCTTTGACGAAAATAGCTTAAAACTGGCGCTAATAAAACTATCTCGAGAACACTTATAGAGTGAAAAACGATTCGTTTCTGTAACCTAAGCATTTTCTAAGCGATACGATGACTTAATACTTACGGTTCCGATTTCAATAAAGCAAAATAATATAAAATAATCTATTGTGATCAAATAAATTGTTATTGAATCGAATGAGTCGAAAACTTACTTCATGAAAAATTTTTTTTGTTAATCTCTGAGCGTGGGTATACTTTGCATTTACAAGGTATGTTTTACATTTTCTTTCTTTTTAATGACTATTTATATACAATTTTCATTTGCTTATTAAATGTCGTTTTTCCCTCTACGATTCTAGTCTGTCACGATTAAAAAATTTAGCAGATGGAGTATTTTTACATTTATTATATGTATATAAATGCATCACTGACTTTAGCCATGTCTAGTATAATAATATTTTCTAATTTGTCTCTTTAAAACTTATAATATATAAAATAACAGTCTCTTTGATAAACACTTAAAATCCCGTGTTGTAAATGAAATGCAAGTATGAACAGAGCCCTCATCTTAGTGATTTTAAATATTTACATCCTTAACGTTACCCAGAACAGTCTGGTGATCTCAAGAGACACTTAAAGAAACCTTTTGATGTCAATAACATCATAATATTAATTTAAAAGACTCATTTAAAACATTTTATTTCATATAAATTAAATAGAAAAGAGAAGAGAAATATTAAAATAAAATGTAATTTCATAATGAAAATTCATAGTAAATTTCTTTACTTCACAAATATATTCCCGGACGGGCTAAATAACGCGTGGGAATAAGTGAAAACACGTGCCGCTGCAAGGGTCAATGTATATAAATAAACTATTGTAAATGAGAAAGAACAGAAATGCTAATATCTAGCAAGTATGCTTAAACAATAAAATTATATGCTCTATTTAAATTTACATTAACGTATAATGACTCGGTTCCATAAAAACATTCATTTATTTAATATCGTATAGTAACAAAATTCTTCTCATCGAAAACAACATTTCAATAAATCAAATATGTAAAGGCTTAAAAAATAATTTTAATATAAGTGTATACAATCGACTGAAATAATATTATTGCAACATAATTTTATTTACAGTATGTACAATGTTTTTCGTGTTCATTTATGATTTACCAAATGTTTTCGTTCTGACTTTTCGGACAGGTGAAAAATTCCTTAGTTAAACTTTTGTTTTATTTAAAAAATGATATAGATTTCCCTGGGGCCAGCTTGTTCGGTTGGCCTGCGCCGCCTTCAGCCAGGATTATTTATCAATGTCGGATAACCGATTAAGCTAAAATATATTAAGGTTCAAAATGCGTTTATTAAATGTTTCGTTAATTTTTTTATTTAAAATAATTTTAAATGAGGAGCACCTTGTTTAATCGTCACAAAGTTATTTTGAACCATTTCATGATATCACTTATTATATACTCGTAGTTTACCTTAGTAACTTTTAATATAGAGTCGTGTATCCATAATGATGCTGCGGCTGACATCATAGTATAAAAACAATAAAATATTAGTAACTAGTTTTTGCCCGCGACTTCGTCCGCGTTAGTTTCGTCATTAGTAATATATGTATTGCTGACCGGGCGAACTCTATTCCGTTTTAGAGGCCATTAATAATCAGGTTTCTCCTTTTTGAATCGAACAGAATGATTGACATATTAGTTAGTTGTCAAATCTAA